TCGGAACTGTTGTAGATGGCGCAAAAATCATTACCCCGTTTTGACCGCCAAGTTTCCCTACCCTGGGCTTATCGCGCGGAGCGCTTTGAGGTGTTACCCCGACAAGAGCTGAGTACGAACTATGTATAATTACTACTGATCACAATAGCTCACGGTAGCTCTTAATCATACAATCTCTAATAACACTAGTCTACAATCTTAAGCTATTTTGTGCAACAAGACTTTTATCGGCAGATCTTTATAGGTAATTTTACGCGCTATTCAAAAATGAAATGATCACGAAATGTTTTTGTGACAAATCAATGTAGTAGCATTTACGAGTATTTAGTAGTAGATCGTATATTAAAGAAATTAAAATCAGTGGCGCTAAACAGCGCATTCTTTCTCGCGTAACTAGTAAGCAATATTATACTACTACATGAATCTGCAAAAGTGTTTTCTATCAGCAAATTTGTTTTTCCATACTAAGACTCGAAGTCAAGCCCTCCGAGTGTACTCGCAGTGCTCCTAACCTCTACAGCAAGCCAGCCGCTCTGAGACACCTTGGAACGACGCTTCAAGAATTTAATTGTTTCAACTCAATATTTCCAAATTTCGACATTTCACAGAGATCAACGAAAGTGAGAACGTCGTTATTTAACGTTTTCTTGTTCTATCAGTGGAAATAAAATGGAGCGGTTTTTGAGAAAATTCTTTCATTTTTCTTCTCATTCTCATTTTTTCAAAAAGTTGTACATTACGATCTTCAATTTTTACACTCTCGCTACTGCTCATGCGGGGTAGAGAAAATATTGATACGCTGCAGGAAAAACTTGGAACGAAAAAGTGGGCAAATCTTTTTCCTGTACAGAAAATTACTTCCTCTAACACGTCCAGTAATCAAGATCCATGTTTTGTGGGTCGTTGGTCGACTGAAAAATCGACTGACGACATAATGCCTATCCGTCCGTCTGAACAACGCTAGCGGCCAAATTGCAGAATTTTCACCAAATTGATATTCGCCAATCGAAAAGACTGATGTTACGGCTTCTTAAATTTCAAATCGATATTTTGATTCTGGTGGATACTTTACTTGAAGTCCCTGGGACCTTAAAATAAAGTATCAAATTTTTTTATTAAATTTTGTTGCCGGAGTGCGTTGCCTAAATCGCCTAAGAGAATGATGCAAGTCTCATTTGCATTAAAATTCCCAAATTTTCTATAATTGCAAAAATTCAATTTTTTTCGGCATTTTATTGCAACATAAATTACGAAAAATTTTTCTCTCTCGTAAATATGAGTATTTCTTACGTACACCGAAGAAAAAAAAAACGCTGGAGTATAACCAAGGAAACTTGTTACAGTATTATGGATCTAGTATATTCCAACAGTTCTTTTTTTTTTCAGTGTAATTTTGCGTTAAACAGGCAATTTTTAAATGTTAAACAATTTTTTTCTCATTATATAATCAGTTCCTCTTTAAATTTTAGACATTCAGATTTATTTATTCCTATACATAATTGTGATTTAATTCATTAATTTGTGATTATTTATGTGTTGGTGTGTCATTTCAGCTACTACCTTACCTATTCTACTAAATTAAAATTCCAATAACATTTTTAAAATTCAATTTAAATAATCCATTACTTAAATTTTAGAAATCATTTTCCCTAGCCTATTTAATGCTTAAAAAAGGGCAAAGTTGCCCAGGTTTTACTTTTCTGTTTGTCTCCTCAGCAGTTCTTACTTTTGTACAATGCAATCCCAATGGTTCAGCTACTTCAAATTTATGTTTGAATTTGTTCTACACACTGAATATTAAAGCCAGAGATGTTTTTCTAAATGCAATTTATCCTTCAATTGTATGTTCTTTGTAGATTGCAACCAACCCACAAAAATATACAAATTCCGCAGTGGCACTTTCTACTAGATAGCTGACCATCATTCTTTTATTTTTGTGTCCAAATGATGTTTGCATTGTGATTTAGAGTCAGAAAAGCTAAACCATTAGTTGAGTTCACACTTCTTACATTACAGAAAATGACCATTGATAGATATTGTTGATTAAATTATGAAAAACGAAAGAGAGCTGGATACACATGAACATACCTTATTTTCGGCATGCATTTTGCTGGTTAAAATTTTAAGGTATGTCCCAACTTTCCAACCCCTTTTTTCAGCCATAAGGCTGGGATGTTTTCTGCATAACTTCATTCAATTGTATGATGTCAATTTATTTAAATGATGTCATGCGCTTTCTTAAAATTCTGAGTAATTGCCAAGAACATTAAAAGGAGGATAAGATGCATTCCCACTAGCTTGCTACAATATTTGTCTCCTTAGGCCACAAAAGGTTAACATTATTAAAAGTTAGGCATTATGTTAACTTGTATTATTGTAATTATTTTTTTATAAGAGTATTTTTTGTCCAACTTACAATGTTTATGCACCAAAATAAATGTTACGACACTACAGAAACTGCCATCCTCAATACAACAAAAGAATTAAATAAAATAATGTTTTGTATTCATTGCATCTATGGCTATTACGATAATCAGAAGAAGTTTTTTTAGATAGTTGTTAAAAGGATATTTACAGAATTGCACAGTGCCTGTTCACTCCTTCAATGTAAGGTCAAAACCCTCTACCATCCATCATTAGACACATTAAAGCAGTATAAATATAAATATAAATGATATCATATATTCCCATACTTGATCAAAAAGAATGAAAATACAACTGGAATGGTGTTAATAATATATAATCCTTTTTATAAAATGTTACCAATACAGACACTGTTTACATGTGTCTAATGATGGATGGTAGAGGGTTTTGACCTTAAATTGAAGGAGTGAATAGGCCCTGTGCAATTCTGTAAATATTCTTTTAACAACTAACTCAAAAAACTTCTGATTATCATAATAGCCATAGATGTAATGAATACAAAACATTATTTATATTTATATAAATGATGTTTATTGTATGCGTTGAGAATTTTCCTCTTGTTATGAAATGGCTTGCTTATTTACTTTAGCTCTTTCTAGACACCTATAAGTATGTAAATTATTTGGCAATTGTCATTACTAAATCTATTATTACCAGCATTATTCATTGTTGGTAATTGACATAACACTTAGGAACATATTAACTTCATTAGAATGAAAATAAAAGTTCAACTACATAAGAATGTTAGGGTTAAGCTAACATTCAATTTCATATATATTTTTGAGAAAATGTTCGTATATATGTTTGACAAAGAAATATATAAAAAGGTTTAATGTAGAGTTTTTAGTTGCATACCATGTATTTCAAAAAACATGAACACTAAATACACAGGAGGAATTCCTCAATATATTGTACAATAATTTGAAATACAGATGTGATAAAAACCATAGAAATATGTTTTCATTTATTAAAAACTAAAATAATACTTATGGAAATGTATTTCTCTTTTACTAGTAATAGTTATAAAATTTTTTGCTTTAATAGCGACTTTGTAACTTTACATGTATTCCATTTACAGATCTCAGGACAAGCTCTGCACATAATACAATTTTTTTAGAGCCAGGTGTTATTTTATAATTTCTTACTATTTTACTAATGGTAGATTTCATTTCCATTAGAGCAAATCTTTGTCCTGAAAGAAAAAATTAATTGTTTAGAATGTTACAAAAAAGTATACAAAGAATTCATGCACTTATTTGTAAAAATAGTGCAAAAATAGTACATGTGTGTATGTATGTGTGTGTCACATGTGCTGTTTGTGTGTAGTGCACAAGTGTGTTTGCATGAGTGTTTGGGTGTGCTTGCTTGTTAACTTAAGTCATCAGTAGATTTACTATTTGAGTTGCCTTATTTCTTATTTTAGACAGACTAAAATAAGCTCTTAAAAGGTGAAATACGTTTGTATAAGATCTTAGAAAGGTGGTATAAACTGACATAAAAACAATTTTTTTCACATATACTTTTCAATTCAAACTTTTATTAAAAATATGAGTAAAAAAATGAAGAAATTGAAATGCAAGAATGCTGTATTTTTTCCCCCTACTTCTGAGAATTATTTTATTTACAAATAATGATATTTCCATTTTAACACAGCGCACCTTTTAATTTTGGAATCATAGATAGTACATTTATTGTTGCTTTCTCCCATGACACAAAGCCCAGCCAGGGTAATTCAGGACTTTTATTTAATGTACATTTCAGCTTCAATCATATGTAATGTCTGTGAATGATTTTAAGTTTTTTCTCTATAGCTTCCATTCCTTAACAGGAATTCTTAGGGTTCTATAGAATGATGGTAAAATTTGGGCAATCTACACATGGTTTCTTAATATTGTAAAGTCATATCAGTTTCATGTGTTAGGTTCGAACCAGGTCATTATCAGGTTTGAACCTATGCAGATAGTGACTACAGTCTCTTTGTTATCCAAGATAAGCTGCTGCAGTAAAGTACAGAAGAAGACCATAGTAGACCAAAACATCAATCCCAATGACATAGACATTGCTCATCTCAAACAGAAAAGAGTCAACTTTCCAAACTAAGTTTAAGTTCACAAAACATCAATGACTAATATTTGTACCAACAAAAAACTTATTTCAAGAAAATTCAATAAGACTTCCAAAACACCATACTTGAAGTTGAAAAATTTACAATTTTATATTTACTGATATAGAATGTGATATACATATATACTGATAAGCGTATTGAAAATGTAAATAAAAGGGGTTCAATATTAGATCATCTTTTGGATTTTAAATACCGTACATCCTTTCAGAAATATGTAGTATATAAAAAGGTTTCACTGATCACTAGTATTTTGAGTACAATAATCTGAAATGATTTATTCAAAGAATGACCATTGTGTTTGGCTATAAATTATAAATTAGGAGTACTTTGAAGAGTCAGTGGGAACAATTTCAACTTCTTCTAAGGGAAAGCTTCAAATGATTTTGAGGGAGATAATTCACAGTTAAGATAACAAGTGACTTTAAAAACATTAGGTAGGTAATGTGAAATTCTGAAAGCTATGAGATATTTTCTGAACCCCATAATATGAGATGCATTGTGACTGGTATACAAAGAGAGGTGCAAATGTGTGATAATCCTTTTAGAAACCTCATAACTAATGAATTTCTAAAAGATTTTATAACTTCAAAATTGTCAGAGAAAAATCTTTTTTAGTTCAAATAACAATAATCAGCACAAAGTCTGACCATAAAAACTGAAAATTTTTATTTATATAACAATAAAATTTAAAAAATTCGTGTTAGTTAGCTTTTATAACTTAATAAGAGCTGGGCCAATTTTAATTATTTCTGATTTGTTGTATTCATCTCTGCTCCAAATAGCAGAATAACCGTTAAAATATCAGAAAAATTCACTAGATAACGCTGTAGAAGAAAACTAAATATTCTTGTGAAATGCACCAGCAACACACACGGAATATATGTCATTAAATAACTCTTAAACGTAGCATTTTAGACATTAAAAACAAAAATTTTGAGGTCAAACTTCTCAAAGAAATGTAATCTCTGGATGAGATCTTTTTGAACATTCTATTACTGGGGGAAGGGTGTAAAAAGAGCTGTGGGAATAGGGAGGGGGGAGATGAAGAGAGAGAAAGGGAGATGAAAGGAAAAACAATGTCTGCTGGGTTCTGCTAGTAAATAAATAATAAAAGACAGATAGAGCAGGGAATCAATACATGGGAAATACGAAGACATTCTGAAATTCTCAAGATGTACATCAACATAGGAGTGGTTCATGGTGTGTGTCATCTGATTAGCTGGAATGTATGCCTTGGATGTACAAGGGAGAATTGGAATTAATGTACATTTTTACAAAACTAATAAATATGCAGTTGTCAACACCTGGTAATCTGCAGGCGAGTTCTTCAGAAAGGAGTTTCAGACTTGCTACATTTTATGTATAGTATACAAGTAGCTGCCTGCTACTTGAAACTCCAGATTGACAAAAGAGGGGCAATGGGAGCTTAACAAATTGTTCTCTCCCATAACGGTAACATAATCACCAACTGTGTTTGAAAGGGAAGGACCACATATCACGAAAAAACATGTGTTGGAGGGTTGTTCTGGGAAGTTTAGAGAGTTGTGTAATTAAGAATGCAATTTTTAGCCTTGTGTGTACATATCTCTGATGTGTTTTGCATGAAGAAAAAAACAACAACACAAATTAGTGTGGCTTCTCATTTACTCAATCATCACCCACTGCATATCTAATAAGTGATAGAGATATCCCCCAGTCCTCATATAAGGATTGGTAATATTTTTGGTAACAAAAATTATAATATAATAAAGGAAAACCATAATAATTATATGTTTGAGAGTGATAAAAAAAATAATGAAAATAACATTTCAGAAAAACAATTATTTGAGTGTGGTTCTGTATCATGATAAAAAGCATCAATGACTAGTTTTCCGTTAGTACAATGAAAATGTCAATAGTATCAAAAATAAACTACGACGTGCATTTTAATTTTGCTTTTTGCAGAAAAACCTAATACTAAGAATGCATTTCTAAAAGCTATAAATTCCTAAAACATATTAATAACCCTTATTTCAAATTTTTGGATACAAAAAATTGAGAACTTAATAACAAGGAAGGGTAAACAACATATTAAAATAAACAGAACATACCTATACAATTCCTTGGACCTGCACTGAATGGTACGTATGCATAAGGGTTTCTTCTCTGACTATTTTCAGATGAGAAACGATCAGGATCAAATTTTTCTGGTTCAGGGAAGTACTCAGCATTGTAATTCATTAAAAATGGGGAAATCATTACATTTGTGCCCTTAGCAAGATGAAGATCATCTGAAACAAATACCATTTGTTCTCTTTTTCAATATTATTTGTTATGATATGAGCAAAATTGAGCTCAAATGATAATCATAATCTTTGCAAATTTGAAATGTATCCCTGCACAAAATAAACTAGTAATATAAATAACTAGAGGTGATTGGGCAATTACATTGTATTAAATTATTGTGGTGATAATCTGGATGGATTTTTAAAAAAAATTAGATGAGGTAAAACAGCATTGTTTTCCCCTCATTTGTGTTGTTATTTTAAGATTTTGCACATTGAAGTTTTCCTAATATTTGCATTAGGGTGTAAAGAATTTAAAAACTACAGTCAAAATGCATAAACCACTACCCAACACTGTAAGCAACGTAAATATGATTTGATTTATTTAGGAAAAGAAGAGTAAAAACTGTAGGGGACATAAGGGGAGAAGTACTATCTGCACCTGTTTTTTTTTTGAGCTCCAGAATCCCTTCCTAACATTTTAACATTAAATACTCCTACCAAAAAAACAAGAGAAGAGCTCAACAAAACATGCGCATACATGCCACATTTAAGTCCACAAGCAAAACAAGGGGCCATCTCAGAATTTGCTTAATAGATCAGGAAAACTGGACAAAAACCTGATCGAGATGAGGGTCACTGACCCAGAAGCTGAAGTGCATTACTTGTTACAGGCGTATCAAGTCATTTTAAAAATTATACAATACAAATGCAAACTAATGCATTATTTATCACTGTTAAAAAAATTATTTAATTAAAAAATAATATCTTAATATACCTATGTTAACTTCCTCATCCAGCTCCCTGAAAACAAACGGTACTGTAGGATAAATTCTCTGCGACTCTTTAATAACAGCATCTAAATATTTCATATCCTGCAAATCTTTTACTGTTGTGTCACGATTTGAATCTCCAAATATTTCATATAATTCTTGATATACTTTCTCCTACAACCAAAAGAAAAGCATTCATAATTGCCAGAAAATGCACACAAATCAATATACTTGAGGGAATATTACAGATAAAACAGTATAAATATGGCAAACTATTGAGGCTCCAACACCACATACTTTCTAGTATTATTTCTAAATTTGCAATTTTAAAAAATTCAGAGGTCATGAAAATGAGGTGCACACTATTCTTTTAAGCATTCTTTTTTCTATCCATGCAAAAAAAATTTGGAGCAGTTTTTGAGAAAAAGTATCTAACTTTTTTTATTGCCTACATTTCACACTAAATTACACACAAACTACTGATATTTTTGAAAAACTGAAAATGAACTAATTTAAAGATCTGTCTTAAGGAGCAGATTTCATTAAGGAAAAAAATGTGTTTCTTCAATATTATAGTTGTAGAAAGAGGCTTGCAAAAATTGCACTTTTGCAATTTTAAAAAAATGTGGGATTTAAAGAATCATTTTAGCATTCTATTAAGTGTCCTTTGTGCTATTTGTTCAAAAAATTGGTGCCGTTTTTAAGAAAATTTTTAAAATGTTTTTGCAGCTTCAAATAAAGGACCCTCAAAACTCAAAATACCCGTCTGAAACTACTAATGCCTTGAGTTCATTCAAATTGATCAAGGAATATAAATTTCAAAGCAAAAATGAACTGAATCGTTTAGATGTTAACGCTGACCACAGATAGACAGATGTTTTGCCACCAATCGATGTTTCGGTATGAAGCACCCACAAACACTGCCTGATCTAGACAATTTTGGGCTCGGGGCAATGCTTAAAGTCCCCCCTCCCCCTAAAAATTAAAAATGTAAATGTTGTAGCAAGAAACTATGAGTTAATTTATTTCCACAAATATTACGTTTAAGCCAGAAAAAACTTTTGGATATATATTTTGAATAATAGATTCAAGTTAATTTTGACAGTGAGCTTCAAATGTTAACAAAATTGTTGTTTAGTTAATGTTTAATAAAATAACTAGTTAAATATATGAAATAGTAAATATGAATTTCTGTGTATTTTAATGTAAGCATCATTCTATTCATTTCATAGAGTCCTATCTTATAAGTAATGACTTTTCAACTATTCAAAGTAAAAAATTACTTGAAAATTTTGTATTTATTTATTTGTTTATGAGATATTCCCTTTAATACAGGAGTACAAGATACATAATTGTTAATGAAGCCACAAAGAGGAAATTTAGGAACAATATCTAATTACAAATCAGGTGGCTTCATAGGGCAATTCTCAGATAGTTTGAATAGATTCTCAGATAGCTTGAATACGAAATGTTGAAAAAATTAATTTGTTAATAGTACTTGTTAGCTGTAGAGGCAATATAGTAGAAGGTGTCATTCATTTGATAGTCAGCTTTCATAGGTTGGAGAGAAAATAATAATGGATTATGTGTCAACATGCAAGGGACCCGAAATCCAATTTTATCGTTACAATTAATTTCACCTGACAAAATTTTAAATAGAAAGATAAGGTCACAGATTGTTCTATCCCAAAAATGAGGAATGTTAAACAATGAGTAATAATAGTGTAGTTGAGACAAAACCGCAAAATAGGGCATTCATCGTGAACTGATAAGTTGCACAAAACCTATGTTGGACCTTCTCAAGATGATTCACAGCCTCACCAGTGAACGGAAACCAAATCAGACAGAAATATTCAAGAATGGGCCTAACCAGCAAGTTAAACAGAAGTTTGATGTTGTGGAGTGATCGAAATTGTGATGAATTTTGCAGAATAAAACCCCAATTTTATGAAATATCCCCTACTGTACCGTGACTTATAAAATTAGGATAATGATTTTCTCAAGTTCCAATTTCTTTTTCAATTTTTTATTAACTTTTCCCCCCATCAGTCCCATTCATGTGGCCTCTTGACTTGCAGGGCCCCAAGCGTTTGCCCATGACTTGCATCAACACTGAAAACAAAATATGGATTCTGGCTACACAATTATTAAAGGACTTTTTTTCTGTATTTGGCAACAGGATTTAGCCACTTTTTCTGCTGAAAATTCGCCATATTCCAGTGCACAATTACACAATTTTTTCTTCTTATGTAGTACATTCTTAAGGCATGTAAAAAAGAAAAAGTGAAAAAGGCATGTAATGTTAGCAACTAAAATTTAGTGTCATCTGTAAATAACAATAAGTATCTACAAAAACAGACCCACCTGACAGTCAGGGTGAGTTGCAAGTGACCACAAACAGAAACTTATAGCAGTGGCAGTTGTATCATGTCCCTATAAGAAAATAATAATAATAATAACAACAACAACAATAATAATAACAATAACAATAACAATAACAATAACAATAATAATAATAATAATAACAATAACAATAACAATAATAATAATAATAATAATAATAATAATAATAATAATAATAATAAAAGAATTCATAATCTGTTGATAAAACTTGATTTCACAGTAATATAACAACCTCAAACATGAAGGTGTCCACTTCTTCACGAATTTCTTTATCTGTGAGATTAGCTCCATCTCTAGTGTATTGTAACAACAAATCTAAAAATGCCAACCTCTTTTTCTGTCCTGGAAGGGAAAGATATTTTGATATAATTTTCTATGATAACATTGCAAATAATTCTAAGGCAGGTGCATTGGTAAATTCCATTCATCAAACCTGCAGTCTCAATCCAGAAAAATTCAAAACTACAGTATGATACACATATCTTTCTACTGACATCTGCTCATGTTCACAGTTTTGATGACATTCAAAGGTATAGCAGTTTAGTCTTCTATCTTCATTTTCTGAAAGACTGCTTTGTATGAATAAATTTCACCATACACCTGGTCGTGTAAGTAAAATCCAACTATTTTTCATTCTATTACATATTGAGAAGAAACACACACCCACACACAAAAGAATATGCACATGCACACACACACACACACACACATGAGACAGAGATAAATAAATAGAGAGAAAGATAGAAATGGAGAGAGAGAAAGAGTCAGAGAGAATCTATTTAATATTTAAAAAAATATTTTTTATTGCAAGTCGAATAAACATGTTAAAAGAGGGGGAAAAATAGGAAAAGTTTGGAAGAAAATTGGCTTAAAAAAGAAAACATTGTAAACAAGTGGCAAATCAAGGGGCCATAAAGAAGTGTAATAAAATATGTTTTACCTCAGAATGTTAAGAGCATTCACAAAAAGTAATGTGTGTGAAGTGTGCAAATAAATATAGAGATTAGTGATTAATCAGAATTAGTACATGTGAAGCCTCACTGCATGACTATTATTGAATTATATCTACTAAATTACACATAATAGTAAGGTGGCCACATGCCCTGTATTAGCCAGGACAGTTCCTTATCTTGAGTCCCTGTCCCATATTTTTTTGACAGGAAAACAGGATGCTAAAATGTCCCTTTTCTGGGACAATAACTTGTCAGCATGAAATGCCATAAACAATATTAAACTTATCATATATTCCATTTGCTTCTCATTTTTTTATTAAAAACTAAGTGCGATAATATTCTGTGCTCATGTGCCACATAGCAAGAGAGTTTAGAGTTGTTTGTGGTTTCAAGAAAAAAATGCAGCTATGGCATCATTTCAACTGGCATTCAGTGGCATCATTTCGTCCTTTCAACACTATATGCTTTGTTGATAACAATATTATTATTGAGAAATTCAATTATTTGATCCTCGTTCCTCCCATTTTTATTATTTCAAAATATGGTAACCTTATATAAAAGGTAATTATTTTTTTATTCTATTAGATATAACAACAAAACTGATTAATACAGAATAAATCAAAATCTCTTTTAACATAATTTTATTCTATTTATGGCTCCAAAATTCAAAATAATCAGGCAGTGAACATTTTAAACTGCGTGCATGGTAATGTGAAAAAGGCACAGCCACTCTCAGTATCTCAGTAATAAAATGTTTAATTTTCCTAATTTTTAAAATATTGAAAATTGATCAAAAAATTGGATCAGAGCTTCTAAAACCTTCATCAGCATCCTCTTTCTATCACAAACATTTCTCCACACAGCTTTATTTAGGTGTCATGAATGCAATTGGTCTTATTCTTAGAAAACTCAAATGAATTTGAATGAAATATTTATTTTCCCTAATCATCTTTGAGAAACCTTTTGGATAAAACCCATTACAAAGCGAAATCTTCACTTCAAAAATTCATTGAACATACCACTAATAAATTATTAAAACTAAAATTATTATGTAACATGGCAAAATGGCAAAATCAAGTCAATTAATCAAGCATTAGAAATAACAAATTATTATCAGAATATTATTTACAGAGGCAAAACAGATGCAAAGAAAATGAGATATAGAAAATTAATTTCATTAATGTACTATTCTAATACTTTAAATAATAAAGAATATTATTGGAACACTACTTTTGTTAAGCTTGTTATTATTTCCTATTTACTTTTTAATTTTTTTTTGCAATTCCCTACAAAACCTGATCCCCAATATTATAGCAGAAAGACCTGCATTAGATTATCCTTCAGAAGTAAATATATTTGAAATAACAGGTGCCTAAACAAAAAACATACTAAAATGTAAAAGGTTGGGTCAAATTATTTAACAACATATTAAAAAATATACTGAATTGAATTGAATGCAATGAGAATTCTGCCTGTTTAAAAACTAAGTTATTATTTTGTAACATTTGTTCAATTTTAATGATCCATACATCTCAACACAGTAACCCAATATTTCACTGCAACAAAGAACTAGGCAAACTTTTAAGAGTGAAGGTAATCTAAGTAAAGACAGCAAGAAAGTCATGCATGAGCCAAGCATTCCATGTTGAATTGCACAAGAGTTGACATGACTTTTTTTAAATTTACAGTATCTTCTATATTATTTCAGTGGTATACATACATTTAAGGGCCCTAACTAGCAACTGATCTTTTTAAATGAGGTCTCTAAAGAAAGAGAATTTCACGAAGCCATGATGAAATTCACTTTGCTTAAAAGTATGGAGAGTCTGTTTAAAAAATACATCTAAATATACATGCCAAATGCAACTAGCAGCACTCAGTCAACTATATCAAAGTTACATTTAGGGGTCATCCATAAATTATGTAACGCAAATTTGGAGTATTTTAAATACTCTCTCTCCCCCCTGTAACACACCTGTAATGTGCGCTGGACCCCTCCTGTAATAATAATGTAATAATTGCGACCCCCTCCCTTACAATTACAGTAAGTTAAATTCTAATATAAAGCTGAAATGAGTTGTATTATAATTGTATTTGTTTTAACAATTAAAATTTATTATAATTAACATGAGAAACTCACTCTTACCTCTCTACTCCTACCACTACGAGCAACATTTTTCTTTTTGATGATCAGTATAGTCTCTAATTGTATAGAAACAGTTATGCATCAGAATTGCATAAGATTCCAAGCTTACTTCAGTGGGGCTTACAGGGATCACAAAGATTGCAATTTTTCATTACGCAAATAATTTTCTTTTGCAATCTAAATGCCTGGGTACTACATGACATGCTGCATGAATGCTGACAGAATTTGAAATAATTCTCAATGTGTAACATAATGAACTTAATTCACTGTTTAATTCTGTTACATGAACAATCCATTTGAGGTTTGACTGAATTGAGAGACCTAGAAATTTTGTTACCTTAACATCAGCTAATTGCATATTGTTCTTTTAAATGGAGCATGCGATTGCTGATTTGAAATGCAAAAATGTATTAAAACCATTTATCCTTCATTAACTATTTGTTTTTTATTACAAAATTAATTTGAAACTTCTAAAATTGTACTATTTATTGTTTCTTTTTTGCAAAGACCATTTGCGATTGGCAAACAGAACCGTTCTTACGTTTTTACAAGGTCATATCGTTTACGTATAATGGAAAGAGAATAGGACATAAGATTGAACCTTGTGGGATCATATTCAATTGGTAAAGAATTGGAAAAGTAACTAAATAATGACCTTTCGTACCAGTATGGTATTTCTAATCTTTGAGATCAATGTTTAAAGTATAATGTTACCCAATCTAGGGTAACACCACGGATTCCTTAGGAAAGTAATTTCGATAGCAAGATGTTATGGTCAATAACATTAAAAGCTTTCGAAAGATCTACAAATATTCCAATAGGTGCTTTATTTTGGTCTGTTGATGAAGCAACATTTTTAAGAAAAGAAAAAATGACAGTTTCCGTAAATTTTGATTTTTTCAAACCATGATGCGAGTCTGAAAACTCCTGATTTTTCCTGGGAAAAGTTTCCATTCAGGTATAGAAAGGCCTTTCTAATATTTTTGAGAAAACTGACAAAAGAAAAATTGGTCAGTAATTTTGAATTCCGTTTTTGTTCCCTTTTTTTTTTAATTGGCTTAATTTTTACTGTTATGAAAATATCTGGAAATATTCCTATGCATAAAGAAACATTGAAATGTGAGTTAACAGATGTATTAAGGCATATACACAAATTATCAATAAACAATCTGGAAATTCATCTAATTAACCAGATGAATATTTATTTTTTTAGTTTACTGACAATTCTCAGGTTTTAATTAGAAGTAGTTTTGAAAATAAGCAACGAGAGTCAAGAATCTGTCATCAAATAACCAAATACGATCATAAAGTTGCACCATCACATTCTTGAGGTGATGCAACTTTATGAACATATTTGTACGTCTGTACTTAAATTACTGCAGCATCCAAAAGAACTGCCAGCCAGTAATGCAAGAAACTATGCAGTGAGTAGTAGCACCATTCTACTACACACTGGTTCATAAAAAACTAATATTTTTTAAAGTTAGTGAGATCTCACTTTGATTTTTTCTGGAGTGGTCAACCTCACTCAATTGGGTTTATATATTTATTTTTTAAATATTTTGAGCTCATCGAGTTTACAAAAATATTAAATTTTCAAAATTAATAAATTTGAAAAGAAATACATTGCAAAATCTAAAAAAATAAACACATTTTAACTTTTGAATGGAATTTGAATGGAGATTCTATAATTAGTGTATTGAAGTATGTGATACTTTAAAATCAGTGATGTGTTTCATTTTTAGCAAATTTTAATGTGCAATATTTCCCAAAATAATAAGTTTAAAATAATAAAAATTCACACATTAACATATTTGATCACTATAATAAATAGAAAAAATGAGAAACTAAATAAAAATATAAAGGCCAAATTTTGATATTTTTTTTGCGGCTTGACATGGAATGGCTCCCATGTGGTTTAGTTAGTAGTGCACAGGATGGTACTACCGACTTCCTAATCCTAGTTTGTAATCCTAATCCTCCTTTTTTCTTTATTGAAAGAGACACACTGGAATCTCTCCTGGTACCTACCATTCCTCTAATGTGTAGTGCCCCCCAATTTTCGTGTAGATCTAACCTGGTTCTGGACCTTGTGCCTATATTTTACTTGGCCTCACCGCAGTGCCACCGCAGTAGTATCACCAATCAAAATGAGAGATCCAGTCCCTCAATTAAACATTCAAATTTCACACAATTGGAAGCCAAAAGATTATAAAGTATAGATGTAATACACAAAGGACTTGGACTTGAATCCCTTTCATGCTTAAACTCAACTGTGAATGGTTTAAACCTAACTAAATAGGCTTTTATTCACAGTTATTCACAGGCAGACAGATGTTTTGAAAAAAACCTATTAGAGCTATAGATGGGCACAGAATTTCTCATTCTGCTTAGTTTCTGTATACTTCAGTCAGTGCTAACTTTTCAATTTTGTGCCAACCTCTTCCCAGCTGCTACCTTTTGGTGTCAAAAAGACATTTTACAAATTTTTTTATATTTTTCAGTCTTCTAATAGCAGAATAGGACTAATGGTGCTTTAACAGCACATACTTCTAACTTTTGCAATTTTGGGAAGTTCAAAGAGGTCAAAGAAACAGAGATTAGCAGCATTTTTAAAGTGACATTTGCTCTATCTGAGGAAAAAAATTACGTCATTTTTGAGAAAAAAAATTATAACCTGTTTAATGCCAAAATTACCAGAGATATTTAAAAAAAATTACTTTTATGTAATTATTTACAAATAAAAAACATCAAAATAGTATTTATGTCAATGCATTTTGAGTTTATTCAAAAAATTTATGAGTAGTTACTGAGTATTTATGTCAGAGCATTTAGTACTATCTGTTAAAAAACTTTTTTAAAAAATTTAAGCTGCTTTAGAGGAAATTTTTTTAATATTGCCTATATTTCACTCAAAATGGCTCAAAGCTATTAATATATTAAAAAATGTACATAACTTTAATGTACAAAGTAATTGTTTAGGAAAAAATCATTTGAACAAAATATCTTCAATATTGTAGTTTTAGAAAGATACTGAAAAGTTCAAATGATTGTAATTATTGAAAATTTCGATTTAACATGTAAATTCGACTTACACCGTTTTTATGTACATTTCACTCTAATCTTACACAAAATTTAAAGAAAAAATTTGGAGCCTTTTTGAGAAAATTTCGAAAATGTCTCTAGGGCTTCATGTTCAAAATTTAAAGAATTATTTTCCAAATTGCAGAGCTTTGAGTTGAGCCCATTAGGGAATAACCATTTTGTAAAAATCTTACAAGTAGTGTTGTTCAGAAATGGAGAGATAAAACATTTTGAAAAAAACACTTTCTCAGTAACAGTGGACCCATAAATGTGTTTTTGGATTAAAACTCTAAATTGATTTTCTGCAACTTTATATAACTTTCTTTATACTACATACTTCTTTATTACTCCATGTATACATGTGTGAGAAAGCCAATCACTACTTACCAAAGTCATTTTCTTCAGTGTTAATGCTAGTGCTTCCATTTGCTTTTTCCAACAATTCCTTCTTTCTCTTTGCAATTACCTATAAAACAACAAATTGATTGGTTTGTGAAATCTAGAACTGTATTATAAAGCATTTATTAACAGTGATATAATAATTTACCTCATCAGTAGTGTCATGCAAAACCTTCAGGTATTTTCTCTGTTCTTTTCCATATTTTGTCATGTTGAATATGAAGTCCGAGAAAAGCCAGGGTGTAAACATTCTCTTTACCATGATGTCAGCTAATCTGTGTAAATGCAAAAGATACTGTAAATAAAAAATGATAATTTAAAAAGATAACTGTTGGCTCACCCAACAGTTAGTAAGAAATTTCAACATGTGTAATCCAGGGAAATGGGAACCCATTAAAAATAAACGTTTCTGTATTTTTATATACATATATTCTTAATTTTATTTAAACTCCTTTCCCTTCCAACAAATAAATAACAAAAACATACCCCTGCAAAGCAGAAATATATTCACAATTACTGTTGTCTTGAACATTCATTTGAACTCCCATTGCTGTCTCTGAAATTAAAAATGAACACCAAAATGAATGTGTATAGCTATATTCTTTCACAATCTTCCTTCTCTCTCATTTTATTTTTTCCCACAAACCATAAATAATATCCAGAGCACACAGTGTGATGTAGTTATAGATATCAAATTCCCTTCCATCAGCTTCTTTCTTCAATTTTTGCACTAGAATATTACTACGGCTATTGAAGACATCCATGAAATCTTCCAGAATTTTAAAATGAAATGTGGGTGTAATAATTCTTCTTCGGTGTTTCCACTTACTACCTGGTCAGGAGGAAAAATCAGGATTAATTGCTTTTTCAAACAAAATAGTCATCAAATGAAAATAAAACGACATGATACAAACCTGTGGATGTCAGCAGACCAGTACCCAACCAGTGTTCTAAAAACTTGTAAGCCATATTTTTTGAAATGTTCGTATTTGAACTCAAAAAATGCTGAAATTGTATTGAAAGATAATTAAAATGTATTTTAACACAGATCAAAATAAACAAGAACAGCATACAGTCAAAGGTGGATCCAGCTGATAATTTTTTAATTTTTTTTTTTTGGGGGGGGGGGGAGGTAATTGAATAGATTTGTTAAATAATAAATATATTTGTTAAATAATAAACATATTTGTTATTATATTGTAGATTATTTATGTACTGCAGATATGATGCTATACAATATACTGTTTAAATAATTACATAATTCAAACCACAATTTTTAAATCCATTTTGCCAAATAAAGGTAGGTAAATGAAAACTCTTTGCCTCCTGGGGGTGGGGGGGCTCACGCCTAGTCTTGGCCGAACAGTTAAAAATTTGTTTGCCAGTCTGTGTCCATTTTTGTATATCAGCATTATAAAGACATGTTCTGTTGGTGATCTCGGCTGTCCGGGTGACGCCGCGTCGAAGGCTGTGTTGCCGACGTTTCGACCATCCTGTCGCGGTCTTCCTCACGGCTGGTATGCCTGCATTGCATACCAGCCCTGAGGAAGATCACGACAGGATGGTCGAAACGTCGGCAACACAGTATTCGACGCGGCGTCACCCGGACAGCCCAGATCACCCACATGACTCTGGCCGCGGAAGCCTACGACTTCAGACATGTTGTTGCAAAAAATAGTTCATAATCGGGCATTTTACGGCACAAATGACGTGTTATCATCTTACAGAACGAATGATTACGTTATCACACATTCAGCCAATCGCAGCGAGAGAATCATGATTAGGCAGAGGTAAACGGGACAGCCGACCACCGTTTTATCGCGCGGATGTCAAATACCCAAGGCTTCACAAGGGAGTTATTTCGCAAAATTAAGTTTGATTCTCTTATTTACTTCTTATTCTTATTTAATTGAAATTTAATTGTAAAAAAAAGAAAGAGCATGATATTTGTTTATAACATTGCTTCGTACAAATTTAAAAACCAGCGCCTGACGTTATTCGTTTTCAAAACACGTACTCCTGTAATAAAGCTTAACATTATAAACCAATTGCATAATATATATTAAAGCTGTAAAAAAGATTTTGATGTCCCTCCTATTTGGCTCCCAGTGAAAGGTTTTAATCAAATGAAATACCAAAAATAATTAACAGAAGTGTAGGTTACTATATTTAGAATATATCACAGCTTTCCTTTATTAATAAAAGCTACGAATTTTGTGTTTGAAATGTGGGGCTAAAATGGATACGGGAAGATGGCGTCATGCGCAACTTGTCAAGGGAAATGAAGGAAATGGGAAGGACGAGCGAAATGGAAAAGCAGATTTTCTTGCTTCGAGAACGATCGTTAAAATGATTGTTTGTTACTATCAATTGTAGGTATTCAATGTACTTGCTTATGTATCATACTTGTGATATCTACGGAAAACATGAAAGAGGCGAGGGAGTTCTGATTATTATTTAGATATTTTATTTCACATATTTTGTTTCATATATTAACTTTAGATTGATAACAGGATTTGATATCATAAGCCAAAACAATATCCATGTATATATTATTAAAGATCTTGGTCAATATAAAACATAATGAATATTCATGTGTGTGTGTGTATATATATATATATAACCCTTGCGATATTGCCCTATTTGTCGTAACTTTTCTACTGCACTTCCTTCTGTGCAATGAAATCGCAAGGGTTCAGTTAGTAAACTACTATTATGAAACTCAAAAGTCCAGTAAATAAATATTGTTTACTGGACTTTTGACTTGGAAAGACATATTTATATCCTGACTAATCTATTACAATTTAAATTAATCTATTATTTATATCTACAACTTATCTAATCTATTACAATCGATTTCATTTAAATTACCTCAACATATTTTGCATCAGCAACAACTGCAAATAAATTCGAACCCAGCCACATTCGGTACAGATATCCATGTTGTTTTTGAAGCTTCTTCAAACCTTCAAGTATTTCTGAAATTCAAAACCAATGATTTAATATGATAAATAAAATAATCTTACCCCACCTTGTTCAATAAAATTCATTACATACGTACTGTAATGAGCCAAAAAAACACTCCCGCATCAAGAAACTAGTAATGCTACAGAATGACAGACTTTCCCGTATTAGTTTTCTATCTCCCTTGGTCTTGGTTAGCTATTCGAACTTGTCACATACTCTTACCTGCTGCCTTTTATCGCCGCCCAAAGTACACTTTTATTAAATTTCCTTAATTTCTCGGCTTCCTAATAGTGGAACGGAAATTTTATATCATCTAAAATTTAAGAACAGAGAATATTTAAGAACAGTAAAATTTCGTTCGAATTGGCAATTTTCTTTGAAAAATTTGGAGCGGTTATTAAGAAAGTGGCGCTTAAGCGCAACAGTAAATTCGAAATTTGAAGCACTTATTCACAGAAAATGTATAAGTTTTCGAAAAACGTCATTTGAAGCACTTTAATTCACAAGTACAATACTGTTTAGAAAATGCTGGAAATGTGCATTTTACCAGTGTGAGAGATCTTTAAAAACATTGTGTAATAAAAAAAAATACCCCGAAATAACTTAACCTCGTATAAAGTGTGCAATTATCACCATCCTTTTGAAGCATCTGAAGAAAGAATTTGGAGCCATTTTTTGAGAAAATGGCGTTTGAAAGTTTCTGAAAATGCGGATTTTGAGCTAGGCTTCACAGGAAACAGTTGAATTTTCGTGAAGCTTTATCTGAAACTAATTAAAGCTCATGTACTCATAAATATAATAATGTAAACAAATTGCTTCTAAAAGTAAACAAATCCCCAACAAAAGTTTAAAGAAAAAAATGGAGCCGCTTTTAAGAAAAGATTGTTTTCGTAATTTTTAAAATTGAACATATTGCTCGCAATATTGATCGAAAATATCTAAAATTTATTTGAAGGAAAAAATCTCTATCTTTATTTGTAGGAAGACGCCAAACAAATTCAGTATTTTGCAATTTTCGAAAATTCATCAGTGAAAATCGGACATGTGACGCCTTTATATTACTATAGTCTTACAACAAATTTAAAGAAAAAATTGGAGCCGTTTTTGAGAAAATTTTGTAAATGTCCGGGTGACTACATATAAAGTACCCCCAAATTTTCAAGGTTTTTCAAAATATCAAAGCTTCGACTCAAGCCAGATGGACACAGGTTTCTTCATTTGGAAAAATCCTATGCATGGTTTAGCCGTTAGTGGTGTTGACCGACGGACAGATAGACGGACGTTCTGAAAAAACAAACAAACAAAAAACAACACTTTTTCGGTGTCGGGGGACCCCAAAACGTGTATTTCTGTTGCAATCTCGAAATCGATTTTCCGCAGCATTACGCCACATTTCCTATCCTACGTATATTAGTACTCCGTATATACGTACGTACAGGGCAAGTAAAAAACATTAAATATTAATTATGCTTTATATGGGCATTCACAGGGTACGGAAATAGCGCGGACCGGTTGTTACGGTAGCAGACGTTCTCTTTGAGCGGATGTAAATGAACAAAGTCGCACAGAAATGAACTCTTGCAGTCCACCTGACAGCTGCATTGGGGAGAGGGAAACAAAGCCCCTTTTAGAATAAGAATAGATAATTCCAGCAGGCATGGTTACAGCCAGACGATGGGTATGTCTTCCATCGCCGGCTGCCTAGCGGTACGCTCCAGCGGGCGCATTTTTACATTCTCGCCTTTTTAATAATTAGCAAGGACATAATGTGGAATTTAGGAGAGGAAGAAAGTTTATTATTATTATTATTATTATTATTATTATTATTGTTATCTTACATTATTCACAGTATCTACTGGTCGGTATGTCAACCACACACAGGATTTATGACCAGGTGTGTGTTTGCTTTACTGAAGGTTCAGATGGCTTCTGACAATACGGCATGTATTCAAAATTACACACTTTTGCATATTATATACATTCCTGGCATCCAAGTGAAAACACTCCAGTGCCCGAAGTGCCATTTTCGGGATCACTCCTGTAGCTGATATTATTATAGGCACAGTTGTCACTTTACTGAAGTTCCATTAAGTTGCGACTTCATGGACGAGATCGGTATACTTCTGGATTTTCTCTTGATATTTTCCCGATATGTTGTGGGTATTGAGTATTGATATATCGATAAGGAAAATATGCTGATGGTTTCTATCAATGTACGTTATATCGGGTCTATTGCCGCCGACATGTCTGTCAGTGATAATGGAGCGATCCCAGTAGAGTGTGTGATCACTACTTTCAAGCACATTCTGAGGCACATATTTATAATACGGCATGGAAGTGGCGAGTAAGCCCGATCTCAATGGCAATAATTGGTGGACCAGCTTCGCCACTTCATCATGCCTCTTTTTGTATTCCACCTGTGCGTGGCTGCTACATCCACTTGTCACGTGTTGGATAGTTTCGCTTGCAGCCTCACATCTTCTACACGAGTCGGAATGAATGGTAGAATCTCTCAGAATGTGTTTTCTGTAGTTCAATGTTGGTACCACTTGGTCCTGGATAGCTATCATGAAGGCTTCTGTCTCCGGAAAGAGATCCCCGTGCTGGAGCCATGCGTGCGACGCAGAGATGTCGACTTCTGGTTTACTCAGCTCGTGAGGGTACCTTCCATGCAGTGCCTTCGCTTTCCATAAGGTTATCTTCTCTTCCGTTTCAATGATTGGTTGAACAGGCGGATCAAGCTTTTTCAAGTTCAGAGGACTATAGTTATTATCAACTGCGCTCACTGCTTGCTGAACTCTCCCACAATGTTCCTAGAAGTATCTTGTGAGTGAAGCAATTTGAGAGCTGTGTAGATTTATGAGATCTACAATACCTCGCCCTCCTTGCGACCTTGGAAGGGTATGTGTGTCATCATCATTTGTGAAACACAAGATGTTATGAGTTAGTAGAAAGTTTGAAGGCAGGTTATAGGCCTGTACTTCGAGGGGTCATTATAATGCTTTAAATCGCCCAGTTCGTTCAATTCAAATTTCCGGCTCAGGTACTCTCTGTAACAACTGATATCTTCCAAAGTCTGAGATATGCCAAGGATATCGTCGACATACACTACAATGATGAGTTGATGACCACTCTGTTTTTTCAAGTAAACACGAGGATCTGAGTCGGTTGGTAATGCGCCGAAGTTGCAAAGCTCTTTGTGCAATCGTTTGAGCCACACTCGACCTGCCTGACGCAGCCAGAGAGCTTTATTCATGGAACAAACCTTGTTACCCTTGGACAACTTTTCGAGCATATCTTCATCCTTCTTGATGTCGCTGTTTCTATTCTCCCTCCGGGTGATCATCTCCAACATATTCACGGTGTATTCTGGTACCTCCAAGTATACCTCCTCTTCCAGGACGCCGTTGAGGTACGCTGTTGATATGTCGATTTGCTGGATGTGCATATTGTCCCGTACTGCAAGAGCTACAGCCAATCGAATTGATTTACTTCGCCCGACAGGAGGGAAAGTCTCCCGGAAATACGTACTAGGACATTGAAGAAAACCTCGCGCTACGATTCTTGCTTTCCTCCTATCAAGCTCACTATCAACCCCGTACTTGTTGCGTAACACAACTCTACTTCCGACGACCTCGCGATACTCTGGTCGATTCACGACGATCTAGGTGTCGTTTTTCAAGGTGGATGCCATCTCCTGCGCCATAGCTTCCCTCCACTCAGCAGATTCCGCAAAAGAGATGGCTTGCCTGAGAGGAATTTCTAACAAAAATGCATAGCATCCGTCCGCTTGATCTTGCTCGACAGTAACCTTATTGTACTGTTTCCTAGGTCTGCTGTATTGTATGCTGTGCTGTATTCACCTTCCGCGTTCTTCCTGGTCCTCGGCTGGAGGTCGCCCGTTGGACTTCTTCCCGTAAATCTTCGGGCTGAAAAGCACGAAAATCGGGTTCGGTGCATCTGACAAACTCTCGTCTGACTCGAAACTCCCAAATCCGGAGCCAGATTCATCATTCTCTTCGTTCTTCGTGGAGTTCAGCCAGTCCTTTGAAGCTCCTTGCCTGTCGTGATAAAGTCCGTTTGGAGTCAAATCAACGTCAATGCGTGAAAGGATCGGTCTTTGTTTTTTTACATTCTCGAACTTCTCTCGACCATCAACATGTGGACTGTTGAAGTTCTCCCCTGCGATGCAAGACGGTAACTCCACAAACTTTACATCCCGGATGACTTCTAACAGTCTCTAGCTTGGGATCCAGACTCTGTACCCCTTTGCCTCTTCGGAAGACTCAAGGAATATACCTTCACTCTTTCTTGGTGCTTGACAAATTTTTTTTACGAAGCTACAAAATAAATACCATCATGAAGATATATGGTACACACAGTCTCAAATGAGTAACCGCAAGTGTCATTCCAATCGTAGTGCAAAGAAAGGACCTCATCCAGGAGGAACAGCCTTACAGATGACGGTAATCCCACGCCAGGTAAGTATATCCACTAATATATATCCACTATAGCCTAGTGCTACACCCCCCTAACCACTTCACACATAAACGGTAGATCCTTTTCATTCATTTGTCAAAATTTGTCAATGATTTATACGTTGTTCATTGCAAATAGTCACAAACGTATTTTTTTTTTGCACCGGAAATTGTAGAATATGCAGCAATATAATTATTATAACTGGATTTTAAATTCAATTGAAAAAGTATTTTCAACAAAATTCCCACACGACGACTTACAAAAGTGGAGAAACTTTACTCTTAAACAGTATACTCAAACGCTGGAAGATGGCGTCACTGTTTACATTCTACACACGACTCGTCCCGCATGTGGATGGTTCCGTCGCTCTCTGGCCCTGATCGCCCTGCCCCACGCTAAAAGTGACCGAGGCACACATTAACAGCTTATTACATCGTTTTTTAAAGTCATTTAACATGTATGTTGGTTAGAGGCAGGTCAGTTTTTTTATTTAACGGAAGAAAGATATGAGAGATTTTACGAGCGATAGTTC